TTTCAGTATAGTTTTGAACAAAACGATTCAGTTTTTCATTTTTTTCCAGCAAAATTATTAGAAAAATTGATAGAAATTGAAATTGCTTTTTTTGAAAAATGGTAGCCATTCGGAAAATTAAGACATACTGTGTCCAATTGAAGCTTTCATTAAACCTCGATCGCGTTTATGGCACGGGGAATGGCTTGACAACATGTTTTGGTGTGCCTGTGCTTAAACATGTAAAAAAACACCGCTTCTAGCACTTGAATTGTCTCTTGAATTTCTCAATCCCATTTTTTTTTAATGACTCATTTCTACTTGACTCTTTAATGTTCATAATCCGTTTAGTTTTCAAGCACGCAAATGCAAAGAAACATTCGGATTTTGAATGATTCGTTGATCTCTTACTGGTGACATGTAAGGCGGATTGAAGCCACTCGATCGTTTCACTAACGTACTGGAAATGCTTTTTAGCTTTTTAGCAATCAAGTGGATAGTTTTTGAAAGTCATATATCAAAGCTACTGTGTAAAAACATGGTTACGGTAGTTGGGGCAGGCTCTAGGCTCTAGTTCTTGACTAGCCAGTTTAGGTTACCGTAATCCCGACTGCCGACCTAGCTAAAGGCTACAGTCACCCGGATGCATCGTTGATTACAGTAGGATTTATTAAACATTATAAAGATCTACGGATATAAAGGATCGGTTACGGTCAGTCCGGCTCTAAGGCAAGTATTTGCCTCAGTGAAGCAATGTCTTAACATCTGTGTCCAGGTACCGTAACCTCTACGTCTTTAAGATTACAGTAAGATCTGATCGCTAGGAGAAGAGTGTAGGTCTAGTATTACAGATCTAAAGCTACGGTAATCAGATAATATTACTCTGTATTGCCCTCGTCGTTCTTGTTCCCAATTTCGCCTCTAGAAATCGCCAATCTAGGAAAAGATAGAGACAAGACTACGGTAATCGGGGAAAATCTCATTGCTCTCTCGATCTTTAACACAATGGTTACAGGATCTAGAATTTTAAGCAAAAATGCTAAAAGATTTAGGGCAAAAATTGCTCGAAATCAGCCAAGAACACAAAAATACTTCCATGAGGTTTCAATTTTTCTCAAATTTCAATTTCAATCTTAGGCTAAGCTTAGGCTGGCTCAGGCTTAGGCTAGGCTTAGGCTAGGCTCAGGCTCAGGCTTAGGTTTAAGCTCAGCTTCAGCAGCTCAGCTTAGACTAGGCTCGGGCTTAGACTCAGGCTCGGGCTTAGGGTTAGGCTCAGACTTCAGGCTTAGGCTAAGCTTGGCTCAGACTTAGGCTAGGCTTAGGCTTAGACTAGGCTCAGGCTCGGGCTTAGACTCAGGCTCGGGCTTAGGGTTAGGCTCAGACTTCAGGCTTAGGCTTAGACTCGGGCTTAGGGCTTAGGCTTAGGTTTAAGCTCAGCTTAAACCTCAGATTCATTCAGCAGAGCTTAGGGCTGACTGTAGGTCAACGGTAAAGCCATCATTGGTTTCCAGTTTTTAACTTAACCAATTTCTTAATCACCAATCTAGAAAAAAAATAGAGACAAGACTACGGTAGTCGAGGAAAATCTCATTGTTCTCTCGATTTAGCTGCTCCTTTAACACAATGGCTTAACAGGATCTGGAATTTTAAAACGGATTTAGGGCATAAATTGATCGAAATCAGCCAAGAACACAAAAAATACTTCCAGCAAAGATTAGATGCATGATTTCACCGGAACTCTCGCAAAAAAAAAACGGCAAAAAACGGCAAAAAACGGCTTCCCAATCAGTGATGAGAGATTTTACGGCCTCTTTGAAAGTTGATAAGGCTTTTTTTTGGGTTTAAATAGGTTATTCATCAAATTTCTTGGCTTAGATCTTTTCAAGGAAATGTTTATTGCTAAAATTTTATTAGTTTCTGTACTTTTTCTATTATTTCTAATGCATTTGATTGTCCAGTTGAGTACGATAATCAATTGGGCGGATGTCTTTTCCCTTTAACATTGAGTGGGTTCTTTTTCTTACCATTTTTAAAGCACAACTCGTTTTCTATAAAGCCTAAGTACCAGAGTTTCGCGACAGAAATCGAGAACAATTAAAGTTTAGGAAAGTTTAAGCTTTCTTAAACAAGATCGGCGTTTAGAACGTTTTTTGGGCTCTAGCAAAGGGCTAGTTGTTTGAATTTGAACGATATTCATTTGACAGATTCATTTGACAGATTCATTTGACAGATTCATTTGACAGATTAATTTGACAGATTCATTTGACAGATTCATTTAACAGATTCATTTGACAGATTCATTTGACAGATTCATTTGAACAGATTCATTTGAACGATACTCATTTGACAGATTCATTTGACAATGCCGAGCTATTGTGCAACTCTTACGGAGGACATTTGATCTCCGTGCACAACGCTTTTGATAATGGACACATTGTGCAACTAGCAAATGGTTAGTTTAAAAAAATCTTTTACAAAAAAGCCAAATTTCAAATCAAAGATCAAAAATAAATAAACGGGA